GACTAGAAATGGTAATGACATGAGTAAATATAAAGCTTTTTCTTTTTAATCTAAATCTCTTTAAAAAATAATAAACTATTATTATTTAAAAAAAATGTTTTATGTTTATTTTTGAGAGAGAGACAGTGTGAGCAGGGGAGGGGCAGAGAGTGAGGGAGACACAGAATCCGAAGTAGGCTCCAGGCACTGAGCTGTCAACACCAACACGGGGCTTGAACCCAGGAACTGGGAGACCGTGACCTGAGCTGAAGTCAGAGCCTTAACTGACTGAGCCACCCAGGCGCCCCAATAATAAACTGTTTAAAGTAAAGATAACAAAAGTATGTTGTGGGTTTATAACATGTAGAAATAAAATATAGGACAACAGTAGTACTCAGGCAGGTAGAGGAGAAATGGAAGTGTTAGGAAAGAAGTATTAAATAAACTTTGAGTAAGCAGAAACAAAGCTATTATAGGTGACATGATTGTTTATATGGAAAATTCAGAAAAATCTACAGATAAACTCAGAACTAATAAATTAACAAGGTCTTGATATCAGTATTAGATTTTAGAAATCAGTTACATTTCTCTATATGAGTCAGACAGAAAATAAAAAGATGACACTTAAGTTAGCTTTCAGAAACATCAAATACCTAGGATTAAATGGAAGATGAACTCTACACAGAAAACTATAAAAAAAAGACTCAGAAAAATAAATTATAGAAAGAACAAAATAATAATTAAAAAATAAAAAATCAGAAAAAAAAACCCCAGAGAAAACAAAGGAAGTATAAATAAACGTATGTTTAATTTTCATTGAGAAGATTATTATAAAGTCAGTTTTTCCTAAATTGATCTGTAGATTAAAATCTCAATCAAAAGTCCCCTATGCTTTTTTGGGGGGGAAGGGAAGGGAATAGAAAATGACTAACTGATCTTAAAATGTAAATGGGAATCCAAATGGCAAATGGTAGTTGAAGAAAATGTTGAAGAAAAAGATAAATGGTAGAGGATTTATATTTATACTTCCAAATATCAAGAGTAAGCCTACAATAATTGAAAGAGTGATATTGGCATAAGAGTCCACAAATAGACTTAAGGAACAGAACTCAGTGATGTCTTTGAACGAACGGTGCTGGATCAATAGGGAAATCAGATTTTCCATTCACAAAAATCAGTTCGAGATGGATCTGAGATAAATGATAAATGATAAAACCATAAAACTCTCAGTTGGAAGAAAAAGAAAAGGAATTTTAAGAAATGTAATGAGGTAATAAAGATTTAAGAGTAGATATTAGTGTAACAGAAAATAAAGCTTTGTGTAATCCTTTAATTTTACTATAAAAGGACAGAAAAGCATACATTGTATGATTCCATTTATACTTAGTTCAAAAACAGGAAAACCAGCCAATAGTGGTGGAAGTTGGTATAGTGGGTGCCTGTGACAGAGAAAGGGATGGATAATGACTAGCTGGTGAATGGGAGAGCACCTGAGTGGGCCTTCTGGAATGCTGGTAATGTTCTTTATCAGGTTCTGTGGTCTTTGGACACCTAGGTAACTAAGACCCTTTTAGGGATTCCATGAGGTCAAAACTATTTTTATAATAATACTATAATACTATTTGTCTTTTCCTTTATTTTTGTATTTTCATTGATGGAGCAAAAGCAGTAGTATGTAAATGTTAGCACAGATCAAGGCAGTGACACCTAAGTATTAATAGTCATTGTATTTTCGCTGCCCACACCCTTCAGATTAAAATAAAGAATAACAGTTTTACTTAAAGATTTCTTTGGTGAAGCAGGAAAAATAGTTTTATTAAGTTGTGACCTTTGAGTACATGTCTTTTTAACATTCTTTGTAATGAAATGGAAAGTATGCATAAAACACTTAGACTACATGCTGAAGTACCTGCCTGTGGTTGTTTTGTGTGGTTGTTTGAGGTGGATGTGAAGCCAACTGCTTTGTTCGTGGATCATAGGGTTCCTTAGGGTTGAGGGAGAGGGGCAGAAGGAGAGAGAGAGGGAGAAAATCCTGAACAGGCTCCACACTCAGTGCAGAGCCACACACTGGGCTCAATTCCATGACCCTGGAATCATGACCCGAGCCGAAATCAAGAGTTGGACAGAGCCACCCCTGTGCCCCAGGATCATTGTTTTTACTTGAAAGAACAGTTGAGACTGATTATTCAGATTTGGGTATTTGGCAGGTGTTTTCTTGGTAATGAACATAGTGAATCTGTCACCTCCAGGAAAACTGTTGGCAGTATCCTTTGCCAATGGTAAAATTTGAGCGTTGAAGCAAAAAGTAGAAGTTTGGAACACTTGTATCCACCACAAAAGACTTCTAATGAGATCATTGGTGATGTTAGCAAGTATGATGTTTTGATGTTGTGTAATGAAATGTGTCCGTATTTAGAAGATCTGTATAACAATGAACGAGTATTTTCCATATGGCAGTGAATAATGTTACAAAACCATGCATAGATGAACGATCCATTCACAATACAGGGTCGAAGAGTGGACTTTAATGTATCAGAGTATGAAAAATTTAGTGGTATGTTTTCAGGTCCACATTGCAACTAATCTTTAAAAAATTGTCATTTGTCCTGTTTTGGTATGGTATCAAAAAAGTCCATCCACAATGATCTGAAAGTCTGTTAAAATATTCTTCCCTTTTCCAAATGTGTGTGTGTGTGTGTGTGTGTGTGTGTGTGAGAGAGAGAGAGAGAGAGAGAGAGAGAGAGAGAGAGAGAGAGAGAGAGATACTGGGCTTGCTTTCTATAGTTGCACCTAAACAACTTACTGCAGCAGGAAAGAGAATCTAGTGGTTTTCTGTTAAGCCAGGCATCGAGATTTACAATAATGTAAAACTAAAGGAACTCATCTAATTTTATTTGTTTATTGAGAGAAAATATTTCTTATGTTAACATTTAGTTGGGTTTATAATTGTTTTCTTTAAGTTAATGAAAAATGTGTTTTAATATACAACATGCTAATTATTAGTAGATACATCAGCACAAACAGTTCCTTGACTCTCCAATTTTTAAGACTGCAAAAGTGTTCTAAGATCAGTTTGAGAACTGTTCTATACTTTGTTCTGGCTGGTGATTACATAAGTAGCCCACTTTGTAATAAATTAGTAATTTGTGCACTTTACTCTGTGTATGTGTTACATTTTAATAAAAAATGTTTATCCTTCTTCCAGATAAGATTTTGTCCAAGATTTCTGACTTGAGTGATAGGTAACTGAGCATGGACAGGACAGAGTGATCGGCTAAGAAAATTACCATAGGATGCTTGTAATTTGTTGGGCTAGGAGCCTATAAGGTTGATTTTTTTTTTTTTTTAATGAAATTTATATTGGAAGTATTTACCAGAAAAATCTTTGCCAGAGTTTCCTTTATTCCCTCTTAGTTTTTCTTATATTCTTTTCCCTATTTAGTTCCTAGGCATGTATTGTTCCTAGCTGATGTTGAATGAGGAACAGTTTGGTTTTGCCTTAAGTATAGAGGCATACATGCCCAGTTTTTTACATATTTGGCCTCTTGGCAAATATTTGTAGCATTTAGCATGACTCCATTTTTAGCACAAACAGAAGGATGGTGATAGGTCAATTGGTTATTAAGTTAGCAAATATTTATTAACTGTATACTGGTAGAAAGCACTATGTTGGTTATGATTACTTATTGGGGACTTAAGGAGCTAACAGTCTAATAGTGGATAAAAATTTGATAAAAATTAGTTATACCATACAGCTAAATGTATTGTGCCCATGGAAATAGCATAGAAAGGAAAGTTGGTAGTAGCATCTGAAGAGAACCTTGAGTTATACTTAGGCTAGTTAACTGTTTTAAAAAATCTCATTTTTATTGGTTTCTAATTAAAAATTATATTACTTATTTTAAACAAACTTGAGCATTGTAAAAATATCAGTGATAAGTCTTCAGGAATACCCAGCCACCTGCCAATTAACCATTGTTAACAGCTTGATTTATAGACCTTAACATCTAATGTTTATATTAGCATCTTGTTATTTTTAATTAGGGTTTTTTTGTTTGTTTGTTTGTTTTAGTGTTTATTTTTGAGACAGAGAGAGACAGAGCATGAGTGAGGGAGGGGCAGAGAGAGAGGGAGACACAGAATCCGAAGCAGGCCCTGGGCTCTGAGCTGTCAGCACAGAGCCTGACATGGGGCTTGAACTCCCGTACCGTGAGATCATGACCTGAGCCAAAGTCGGAAGCTTAACCGACTGAGCCACCCAGGCACCCCTTCATCTTGTTATTTTTAAAAATTAGATCACATACCTATGAGTTTGCAAATGTGTTAGACTGTTGAGTTTCCACTTTTCAATAATACAACCACTATGATGCCTGTGATTTTTAAAAATTCCTTTTTTGTGTTTTTTTGATGCCTAAGATTATTATTTTTTTTTTTTTTTTTTTTTTTTTTTTTTAGAGAGCATGTGCCCATGCACGCACATGAGTGGAAAAGGGTCAGAGAGAGGGGAAGAGAGAGAATTCCAAGCAGGCTCTGTGCTAACAGCCCCAACATGGGGCTCAGTCACACAAAATGTGGCATCATGACCTGAGCTGAGATCAGGAGTCGGACGCTTAAATGACTGAGCCACCCAGGCACCCTGATGCCTAAGATTTTGAGAGAAGAGAATAACAGTTTTGTTTAAGGCTTGAGTAAAAATAAATGTATGCATTGTAGAAATATTTAACAGTAAAAATCGACAATCCCCTTATTGAATGTTGATGAACTATACCTGAAAATATATCAAATTTATGTACTTCTAGATAGGATATGCTTTTCAGTTTGAGAGTAAATTATTTATATTTAATGGTGAACATGGAGTTAGCAATGAAGGGCATGGAGTTGGGGTAGGTAAGCAGCAAAGGAAAGACTGCTAACATTTTATCCTCCTGCCATATACCAGCCTAATTGTATTTTTGTAGAGTTGCTTAAAAAGTACTCTTTTCAGTGGGAACTACTTATGCAAATGTTTTTTTCTTTTCTAGGTAACATTGTACAACACTGATCAGGATGGTAGTGATAGCCCACGCAGTAGCCTTAACAACAGTCTCTCAGATCAGAGTTTGGCATCTGTTAATTTGAACAGTGTTGGAAGTGTGCATAATTATACACCGGTAAGTCTTGATGAAGTTAACATCTTTGTTAAGTACTCCTTTAGTGCTTAAAACTAAACCAGATATCATTGAAGTGCAAATAAAAAGTGAAAATGTGTATTTTTCACAATCAATTCATTAGCTTAGATAAGTAGAGCAGATTCCTACCTTGACAGTGTATTAATTGGTACTTATATTTTACCAGGTTAGATACAAATATATGGTTGTACGATGTTTTATTATTTTGGTCTACTTTATCTGTTCTGTGTCCAAATGAAAAGTAATTGAAATAGGAAAACAAAATTGTACTTCAGTCTAGCAAAGCTATACTTGATGATACTTTACAGTCCTTGGTAGAAGAGTTTAGAAGATGTACATATCACCTCGTTTTCCAGCTGTAGGTCTGAGGGGGATTCTACAAACCACAAAGGTTAGGATGACTTGGTACCCAGTTGTTAAGCAGCCTTATATTTTTAATTTTAGTCTGGAAAACAAAGCTATGCTATTAAGGGACCTGTGTGTGCTGATTTTGTTAACCTATAATAAGAACATGACCCTTGTGTTATTTGATACCTCTTTTCAAATCGTCTGGCAACTGTCCTCCCTAGAAGATAGAACAGAGCCCAAGAGCCATATACTACGCTGTTCTTTGGTTTAAATTTGGTCTCACTAGTTCAGTCCCTATCCCAGACTGAGTAAATAGGCAAAACCTTATACAGGATAAAGATACACAGATAAAGGGTGGAACCTTAAATAAGAAAATAACTCCAGGGAAACCAAACTGAAAGGGCAGAATTAAAATTCACATTGAATGTAAAAAAACAAAAGGTGGCTCTGCAAAACTGTTTTCAGTGCTCTGGGGAAAAAAATATTCTTTCAGAATGCAGAAGTAACATAATGGAATAACAGTTATGTAAAAGAAGGTACTAGATCTGGAGAATTGAGAATTATAGGTGTCCCCGAAGAAGCAGCTAGAATAGTTAGTATAGAAGCAGTTTTCAGAAGAAATAGAGATTATAAAAGGGTTACTGAGCTGTAGGAAAAGTTAATGGGGAAAAACCTATACCTAGACACATCATGACACATTTTAAAATTTCAAAAGTAATCATATAAATACTCTGGTAGAAGAAATAAGATATTCAAAGAAACACAAATCATACTTCTGGAATGCTAAGTATCAGAGGATAATGGAATACTTCATGTAGAGTTTTGAGGGAGTAGGTTTGGATTATGTCCAGCTAAATTTGCATTCATGTGTGAACTCGAGAGAGAGACCTTCTTTGATACATGGAGCTTAAAAAGCATCCTACCTTTGTTTTCATGTACCCTTCCTAAAAAACATTACTTTGCTGATCAAGAGATGAACTAAATTAAAGCATTCAGTAATGATGAAATCACGATATAAAAGGATTGGTTGGCGCATTGAAGCAAACTAAGCAAAGATTTGATGATTTTAAGTTGCTTTTAAAATAATGTGAATGTAGGAAATCTTGACAGCAAACAGAATCAAAGAACACAGAGTATGGTATCAGAAAATAAAAGGAAAGGAAAAAATTAAATTTGTAGAACTAGGTGACAGAAGAAAGAACAAACCTATCTGTGTACACGTAGGAGGGTTAAACTTCGCTGTGAAAAGCCAGACATTGTAGACCACTCTTATTTATTTATTTTTTTAATGTTTATTTATTTTGAGAGAGAGAAATAGAGAGCAATCAGGGGAGGGACAGAGAGGGAGGGAGACAGAGAAACCTAAGCAGGCTCCGTAGTGCCCTTGCAGAGCCGGATGCAGAGCTCCAACTCACGACCAATGAGATCATGACCTAAGGTGAAATTAGGAGTCGGATGCTTAACTCACTGGGCCACCTGGGTGCCCCTAGACTGCTCTTTTTCACTTAACAAGACACCAAGTGGTCATCAAACACTTCTTAAGCAATAGTATAGCACCAGCTGCTGGTTGGGCTTGTCACAGGTGTATAGATTGAGCCTGTAATGACACAGTGAGCCCAGATGCACTGGGACAGTGTTACTACTTATGTATAAGCCAGATCAGTATGGTGTCAGCTCTCCACATCCCACAGGATGATTCCAAACTAGGGGAGCCAGGTGACAGACTTCACAAGTGGTGGGTCACTGTAGTGCAGGAACACATTCCATACTGCAACTAAGCAGTTGTATAACTTGCAGCTGTACCCTAAGAGGGTAAAGTAGAAAGTCCCCTGCCTCGCTGGAAATAGGGAGGCAGATGAGAAACTCTCGTGGCAACTTCCTGCAAGGTAGAGAGGGGGATGAGAAACTGCCCCATGGCTGCCTCCCACAAAATAGGAAGGCAGATGAGAAATGGATGAGAACTTGCTCCTCATAAGACCACTCACATTCCGTGTTCCAGGATAATCGCCACAGCTTAGGTCATCCTGCCATTGAGCCTTGCCTCCATGGCCTGTGTAGAGATGTGTAATGTTGCCAATGTGTCAGTGCCAGTACCACCCCTTGATAAAATCTTTAAGAGATACAGATGATCATTTTTTATTTTATTTCTAGTTGTGCTGCCTTCAATGATAACTCTTATTTTTTAGGTAGTTATGCCGTTTTTTTTTTTTTTCTTTGCGTAGCTCAAAGCCAGGCTGTATTTGTTTTTCTCAGAATCTTCTTTACCTGTTACCTTTCGTTTCTTATTTCCCCTTGGTTTCATTTGAAACAATTTTCTCTAGAAATGGAGAGTTAGGTGTATTGAAGCTCCTTGCTGCTTTGGGCAGTGCCATACAACCTGACTCACAGTATTTGAGTTTAAATACTTAAAGATTAATTGAATAAATGAATGAGAAATGCTAGTAATACCCTAATAGAGTGGAGTTGGAGACGAAATTGCTTCAGAAGAATCAAGATGAAGATTTTACAGAAACTGGAAGGGTTCCAGGCCTGGCTCATCATTTATTAGTGTGATCTTGGGAAGGTCATTGAACTTCTTTCAACTCTTTCCCCTCTTTTATGAGATGTGGTGGTTGGGTTAGATTTCTGTGGTTCTTTAAAATCCAAGTTAACAATTTTGTGGTCTTGTCCTTTATGTGTACCCAACTTAACAGAGAATGGGAAAGCCAAAGACAGGGACAATATTCAAATAGTTTCATTCCTGTATTGTATGTAACAAACCAATTCTGATGTATAGAGCTACTAAATTAGTGGTATTTTCTTTTAACGTTAGGTGACAAACCATCCAGAACCGGTCTCTCAGTCATTAACTCCTCAACAGCAGCCACAGTACAACCTTCCCGAACGAGACAAACAACTACTTTTCTCAGAGTATAATTTTGAAGATCTCAGTGCCTCATTTCGGAGCCTTTATAAGTCAGTTTTTGAGCAGTCACTTAGTCAACAAGGTGAGTTTGTTTTCTTGGGGGTGGGGGTTGTTTTATTGAAGTGTAATTGACATACATATCCTATTAGTTTCAGGTGGACTTTTTAAAATACCTTTTTTGTAAAGTTTTTTAAAAATTTAATTTATTTTTTAAATTTACATCCAAGTTAGCATATAGTGCAACAGTGATTTCAGGAGTAGATTCCTTTTTTTTTTTTTCTA